GAAAACTAAGATTCTAAAGGTACTATTATAATCCGTACAAGGTTGATAAAAATTATATAACAAATGCAACATTTGTAAATCTCTCTTGTAAAGATAAAGCTTCACCTTAATATTAAATTTTACTTTCTAACCTTCCCACTGAATTCAGATGGCTCCATTGTCCGAGGACCTATATCAAGGCATCTCTTGCCGTAATTAGAGTTCTCGGGTCGAGTCCTATGCAGTAGCGCCATATCCATCCATAAACAAACATGTGGTTGCAATCTACTAGTCCGTCTGAATTTGGGAAATAAACAATGCTGATCTTTTGGAGAGGTAAGCCAAATCCCCACTTTTTGTTGAAAAATTTTGAAAAAAAGGCAAAGAAGTGAAAAAAAGATAGTAGGCACCACTTGGCTAGAAAAAAGAAGTGTGGCTTAAAAGAAGCCTGTTCTTTACTGTTCTCTAGTTGTTTCGCAACTAATAGTTTCATCAATGGAAGGCTTGAACTTCTATCACCTCCATCTAACCACCAAAATTTCATATACAAGGGCACTATCTTCTGCCAGTTATCTTGTATACAGACGCTTTTGGCTTGTATGCTGAATATATAAAGGAGTCACCCAGAATAGAGAAAGGTTAACTAACCTTTATAAAAACTGCCTTGTTGATTTACCCCACTACAGGTTACTACTCTCCAGTATCGAAAATAGGCTTTTCTTTTTGTCAGAAAATTTGGTCCAAATGATCGTCAGGAAGAGTTAATGATTTTTGACTTTATTGTATATATGATCTAATCTACTATATACTTGGTTGTCTGCTACTATGTATCTAAATATATTAATACAGGTAATATCTAATTTAGATCCAATTAAAATTTTAGCATATAAATTTAAAATATGATGTATACTATAATAGTTTATAATATTCGTATATAGAAATAGATGAATTCTATTGACTTTGATTTTTAACTAATGGTATCTACCCTGTATATTAAAAATCTACCGGTATCTACTGGTAGATACCGGTAGATACCAGTGGTAGATATTTACCAGTAGCTACCAACTCACATTACTACTAGCATGTAACTATTTGTATAACTATCATAATGTCGTAGAGTGCTGTATATAGTACCCAGTGTGATATGATTTTTACATAGTGAAAAATTAAAGATCACGAGCATTATACAATAGTTTATATTACATGATATATATAAATAATATTTTAAAAAATTGATCTACATTATTTGTTACACTGGATACTGTATATAATAACTATCCATATAACTATACATGTAACTATCCATGTGTAACTATCATATAACTATCGTAACTGTCTAATTATTAAAATTTTTAGTATCAGGTATGATGATATGTTGTATGTACATATATACATATATTTAAAATTTGCATCAGCTAATACCTACTTAATATAAATTTCACTTTAACTCTAAAGAATCTCATTGATTTGATGTTAGTATACAGTACTGCAATAACTAAAGAAACCCAGAACCATGTGCTCAATATGAAGTTTCTCAATACTTATCTGTATATAGTAGCTAATAAATAGATTAGTGTCAATTCTACTTTTTGGCCAAATTAAAAACACTGAATTATATGTCAATCACATAAAGCACATACTAAAATAAAAACAAATAATTAGGGTAGACACATTTATCACCTAATTTTTTTTATCAGAGGCTTACCTCCCCTCTAGCTCTTAATATATGATTAATTAGATATTATATATAAAATTTTAATTTTTTTGACCCCCCCTAAAAAATCACCTGATAAATGTGTCTACTCTTATTGCATCAAACCCATTTTTTGTCAACCTTCTTATACATATCGAAAGCATAGATTTTTCAAAATATTCTGGCTGTGAGAGAATGATACATCTATTTTCAGTAAGCATTATTTCACAGACATTACTATATTTTAGTTGACATGTTTTATAAAATAATTTTAAATCATAAGCAATGTTATGAGAATTTCTAATCAATAGTAAAGGCAACAGACCCGAGAGTGGATTTGGACAAGTTAAATATTTATACTAAAAATTAAAAATATTTGCATCATACATACGTGCTATAAATTTTAGAGTAGTATAAAAATATGCTGTAATGATATGTTACATGTGCTTATATAATTCTAAGATACTGTACTAAAAGTACATTACACAAATTTTACTGTAAATGTACTAATGTTCCCACTAACTATATTTGAACTTTAAACTTTGACTAGCATTATTATTATTGTCATACAATTTGAATACCTCTAATAGTAAATTTGTATATGGTTAAAGTGATACATATGTATATACATCGTTATATATACTACATATATACATATGTATATACAAGATTATCCTTTGGATTTATTTTTATGCTTTTGAGCATTATGACCAGAGTTTCCACACATATTATATACATACTTCTATTTAGTAATATTTCCCTTTATACTTTGAGTTGATCTAGTTGAAATATTATTAACAATTTTATTAGAATTACTGGTAAGAGTATTAAGTGGAGTTTTTACCACAGTATTTCTACTTTGGATCAATCAGATTAATTGCACTATTTCTAATGCTAATATTCTGTGATTGATTCTTTGTTGATGACTTAATATATATACCTGGTGGACGTTCTCGTCGCTTATAAACCAAAAGATACAAATTTTTGTTTTTATTATTTTCACTATTATTGTTTTTTTTCTGATCAATAAACCCATTTATTATACCAATTAACTCATCTTTACAACCCATATTAAGCACTAAATTAAGTGCAGCTTTCATCTTTCCAAAGCTATAAGTGTACTTAACTTTCTTTTGTATATATTCCTTAATTTCAGTTATAAATGTATATAATGTTCTAAACCAATTGAATATATGCAAATCAGGTACTATTGTATTACTAGTATCACTTTGGTTAAGCTGCATTGCTATTTCAACAGTCTTATGTAAATTTTGTTCAATATTTTGATCACAAACACTTTCTAAATACCATTGTTTGGCTATAAGTCTAATATTAAACTTCGCAGTTCTTGAATTCATCATAATATAAAAAAAATGTGTGCATATAAGTTCATGATTAATGATAGCTAAACAAGTGCATAAATGCCCTCCATCAGTTAATAAAATAACATAATGCTTATACAATTGTGTAAGTCCAAAGAGCTCCCATATCTTTAAAATGTCAGGTGGGTGTATTCTATCCATAAGAGAATAAAGAATAGTTTGTAGTCTATCGAGATAATTCTTAAGAAACCCAATATTACAATTGATTTGATCAGGTTCCTAAAAAAAAAAAAAAAAAAAACTAGTTTATTAAATTAATGATTGCAGTATTATTATTATTATAGCTTACTTCTTGTATAACACTAATTGTCTCTTTAGGAATTAATCTTGCACAATAAAGTAAGGATTCAAGTATTTGCTGACGTTGAACAGATAGAATATGTGAAGGTAAAAATTTTTTAAGCAATTCGAGTATCTCAGAAAATACAGGCTCTATAATAGAAGGTGCTTGGTTAACTAGAAGACTTTGAAGATAAGAGTTATGCCGAGCCCACTTGGCTTCATTATCTAACAGTCTTTGAATTACATCATGCAAATTGCACAAAGATGATATACTGCTTATACTATCTTTAATTACTCTATTCATTACTTTGACTTTTTGTGTACTTTGTATACTAGCCGTGAAAACTTTAATTTGAAAACATTTTGCCCATGATCTATAACAATTTTGTAATGTATTATTAAGATAATCTTGAGCCCGAGGATACTTTTCTAATAAATGTGTCCAACATCGATGAAAATCATGTTCAAATAAGCTATTTCGAGCACGTAAACATTCCTTATAAAATGTATTATAATTTTTGCCTAATTTACTTTGTAAATTCTTGCGTAAATTTTTTTGTATATGGAAAATACAAAGAAAATGTTGAACGGTAGGCATTTTTAATACTATTGCATTTGATGGAGCAGGATTGGTGTCAGAAAATATACAAACTGATAGAATATTATTTGTCACTTGAAGGACACAATAAAAAAACCACTCATAACTTTCAGTTGTTTCATCATCTAATAAACATTGTGTGACAAGTTGGCTTTTAGTATTGTTATCAATAATAACAAAAAGTATTAAATACATATTAAACCAATTGGTTTGACTTGTATTGTCGGTTTGTATTACATCATTGTACTGTAAAAGACATTGCTATTGATGAGGTGATATCCAAAACAAACCCGTAAATTAATTATCAAAAGGATCAAGTTTTGTTTTAATTATCCAACCTGTCTCTTGGTCTTGTAACTCAAATAACTTGTTAATCATATTTTGAGCATCTCCTTGGCGCTTAATGAGAGGTGCTTTAAAACTATAAATAGTATTATAAATGTCTCGCTTGTGAATTAACTAATCTGGAAAATGTGCAACTATTAAAGGATATATTTGCTTTGATCCCAAGTTTCCTTTGGTTATGTAAAACTTAATCTGCTCCAATATATTATCTGACAATCTGTGATATTTGGGTGTATATAGAGTTATATCAAATACTATAGAATGGTTGTGTTGTCCAACAATACTTGTAATGCCAATTTTTGACAAGCCTTTAGGCTTGCTTAAATTTATGTGCTATAAGCATCTAATTTTTCTAGATGGGTGATGACGCTGGCAAGTTGGATCAATTACTTGATTTGAAATAGCCTCACCAGAAAAACTACATTTAAATATTCGTCTATAAACTATTCTATCTTGATTAACTTCAACTCGTTTCCGGCATATACAGAATCCAGCTGACTTTGCATATTGATTAAGTCTTGTTTCAGCTATTTCCCATGAAGTAAATGTGTTACCAATATTAATAAGAACAGTATTTTCTAGTCCTGTTTCTTCTTGAAAACTTCTTGTGTCTATACTTTCTTGAGATTCTATGTCTATACCTTTTTGAGATTCTATATCCATACTTTCTTGAGATTCTACGTCTATACCTTCTTAAGATTCTACATCCATACTTTCTTGAGGTTTTACGTATTGAGATTCCATATCCATATCTTCTTGAGATTCTATATTCTGAGATTTCACATTCATACTTCGAGATTTTACATTCATTCTTTCTTGATAATCTATATTTTTACTTTTTTGAAATTCCATGTTTTTACTTCCTCGAACTACTATATTCATACTTTCATGAGGAAGTTCTACAAAGAAATCTATATCTATACTCTTTTGATAATCTACATTCCTATTTTCCTGAAATTCTATGTCCCTACTTTCCTGAAATTCCATGTCTTTACTTTTCTGAAATTTTACATTCCTACTTTTCTAAAATTTCATGTCCTTACTTTCTTGAGATATCGTATTTATACTTTCTTAAGGTGGTGCTACAAAGAAATTTTGACCCAAGTTTGTTTATTAAAATTGTTATTACGTTTCACCATATCAATTTTATTAGAAAAAAGTGATAAGTAAGTTTGAAGATTTTTTATGAAGTCATCATTATTAATATTGTTTGAAAAAAATTAAGATAGATCAACTTGAAGTGCTTCCTCATAAGAAAACTCTTAATAGAAATTAGGACAAAGTAGAATAAATAAAGCAACTATTAAGTGTGAAAAATATAGATTACACTACTTACTTTCCATTACTGGATTTATTTTTTTAAAAAAAATAACACTCTGAAGAGAAGTAGAGAGAAACAAAAACATACGTATTTTGAAGAGAAGCAAAAAAAAACAAAGATATATATGTTCCAAAGAAAAAAACAGAGAAAACAAGTATACTGTGCTGAAAAAAAAGAGATGCAAACAATAAATGTATGAAAAATTTAAGTAAAAATATAAGTATAAAAGCCACTTATTATTGAACATATGTAAACAAAAAGCAGAGTCTAAAATTATAGTGGTAAGTATAATCGTTACGTAATTATGTGAGCAAGCATATGGTTGCTGTTCAGTAAAAAGAGAAGAGATCTACTTTTTGACTAAAAAATTTTTATTGGCTTATTAAATAAAGCATAACCAGATTTATAATTCCAATTAAAAGTTAAATTATACTGGCTTAATAATTTTTTGAGCTTTACATATGATCTTTATCATCTAGTATTGTATATAGACCCAGTGTGACACCATTTTTTACATAGTGAAAAAGTAAAAATCACATGCATTACACAATTGTATACATCACATGGTTTATAAACAATATTTTAAAAAGTTGATTTACATTATTTATTGTTGTGATCTACAAAACGTGATTTTCTCAATATTTTTAATCAAATTTAAATGAAGATTTCTTCCTTTTCTACTAAATAGTGTCTATATGTCATTTTATTAAAGCGATTATAAAATTAGACCGCATAGTAAGAAAGTAAGGTATTAAATTGGTAGCATATTATGTGCGCAATGTAAAAGTAATTTGGTTTGCCCTTTTGTTCTAGTAAAATTCTCACTAATGGCTTAAATTTAGATTGCACTAAGAGAATTAATTATTTATATACGTTACTGACTAGACAATTTAGGTTGTACAATTGTAGATTATTTATATTAACTAAACTAATGCGAATTTTTCGTTGATAATCAATTTAATAAATATTATTATTATAAACCAGTGATTATTATCACTAGTTATTTTTAGTAATACTCTTTATTTATTTTTATTTTTATTTTTTTTAAGCAGTCATGTCTTTATTTATTTGAACAACTATTTGACTATTATACATGTATATATTGTCTTTATAGTGTATTGCTCTATCTAAAAAAGACTCACCAAGTATTTACCCAGTGCGACCCACCAAAACAACGATTTATTTCTCTCAGGATTCTTAACTTTCTAAGAATTTCGTACTGATTGAAATACCTCCCTTGGTTATTAATTGGCCATTGTCTGCCATGTCAAGCATGCTTAAAAAACCCTTTTGGTTTAACCAGTAAGGACCATACAGGTTTGGTTCCCCACAAGACCCATTCTCTGGTTAGACTTTCTCTTTCTTTGGCTGTGTCAAGTTTTTCTTCTTTGCAGCTAACCTTGATTCTTTTGGTATCTTTCCCCTTTATACTACTTGTTGGGTCTCTATTTTCTTTGTCTTGTTCCTTTGCCTCTTCAATTTTTCTTTTTCTTGCGTTTTCTGTTTTCTTCCCTTTTATTATACCTTCTTTCTTTTCCCATTCTACCACCTTTTCGTACTGGGTATTCCAAATAAGCTTGCGAAAGTGGTTTGAAAAACTGTCAATAAAGGTTTGTAGGATTTTGGAAGTCTTTTTTACTTCTTCTTCTATTAGCAAGCAAATTCTTTGAACTCTTTGCTTTGTTACTAGGCCTCTTATTAGTTTCTTTCTAGTTACGATTTTTTCATCAAGGCTTTTACTGAAAACTAATTCTGCTATTTTCTGCTTATCGTATATTCTCAAATTTGCTTTTTCTTTTTCTGTCTTGATAATGATGGCCGAGCATCCTTCTTCTTCAAGCTTGCTTCAAGTTAGTTGTAACTCGGTACATTCGGCTAAGTGATCTTGAGTCTCATATTCTCGGAAGTATATCTTGCAAATGTCATCTATATATAACTTTCTTTTTCTTTGTTTCAAAATTTGTATTGTTGGGAGTAAACCATTAAGCTGCTTGATTTTGAAGATCCAATTTTTGTGAGCTTGAGAGCTTGTATATTTTCTACCCTTAACTTTGCTCATGTTTTTTCAAACCTCTCACCAATCTACTTCATTTTCTTTGTAGATTGTCTCAGCCTATTTGTTTATACTTTTTAGATTTTTCTATTCAGTATTAATACTTAGAGCGGTTAGCTATGTTACAAAACTTCTTGTTGCATCATCTACTCGTATCTCTTTCCATCTTAACTCGGCGATCGATCTCTTGTTCCAAAGCCATCTTAGGTTTAAAAGCAATGGACTGTTTACTTCTTCCTTTGCAAGTTTGTCAGCCTTTTTATTTCTTTGCACTCTGCTATGTGCTTTGATCTTGTTCAATCTTACTCTTAATTCTTTAAATTTGATTGTTCTCAATATTTGTTCTAAAAGACTGAGATTTTTCTTTTTTACTATATCACTTAGCTTGGTTTTGTTTTGGCTTGCTTGTATCACCTGAATCGATGCTGCACTATCTGTATAAATATTTACTATAGCCTTGTTTGGTGCAGTTAACAAGGCTGACTATATTGCACCCAGTTCAGCTTTAGTTGACAATGGCTAGTCTTTTATAGCTCCTTTAAATTCTGCTATAAATTCTTCACTCTTCTTGGCTCTATTTTCTGTAACAGCTACCCATCCTATTCCTATTATTCTTCTTTCTGGGTTCTCTGTTGGGTTTGATAAAGACTCATTGGTGTAGAAGGATATTTTTTTGTACGGCTTTAGTTGTGTTGCAAGTTGTTTTAGCTTCTCTTTTATTTGCTGTCCTTCGAGCACTTGATTGATTATTTCTTTTTTTATTGGATAAATAAGAATTTCTTCTACCAGGAACTCATGCCTCTCACTATTGCAGTTTTCTAGCACCTCTGGTCTGAAGTGTGTACCTACCAGACAGTCTACTGGAACTGCTAGTTCTCACACATGTACTTGAGATTCTACCTTTTGTATAAGGTTTGGGTTTATAACAACTGCTCTGCTTCTTAGCTTTTTCTTTATTAGGCATGCTTCTGGTATTGGGTTTTTATTTATATTCCGCTCGCAACCCAAGCACTTTTCGAATCTAACTGTATTGTTATCTGGGTTTGGAATTGTCTCCCAATGCTCAATTATGTAAGTTTTGTATCTCTTCTTTTTCAATTTTCAACTCATTTTTTCTGTTTTTTAACAAAATCCACTCCTTTTTTCTTTTGTCGTTATCTATTATAGAGTATATAACTTTTGGGCTTAAAGTATTTATCATTTTGGTTCTAAAGTTGGGCTTGATTAAACGGTTCTCTTTATTTTCCAGAACCTTTTCCTCAATGTTTTTAAACTATCTAGGCACTTTGTCAGTAGCTTTGCATGATCTGCATTGCTTGATCTGTTTCCATGTAAGTAATTTGCTACCTGTTTCATTGCATAATTGTTCTAATACAAAGATTCTTGCCTTTTTTCCTTGTACAAAACTCTTGATCTGTCTTGGTTCTAGCAAGTTTACTATCTTAATACCTTGTTCTGTAAGTTCGAGATTTTTTTTATCTCCTCCGATCTAAAACTTATATTTATTTGTTTTGTCTCAGTTACGATTTTGTAAATCAAATTTTGCTTGAGATGTATTTTCCTCAATCTTGCTAGTTCTAGGCTTAGAATGCATCTGGGGCTTTTGCAATCTATTTGCACTTGCTGAATTCTGATCTATACAGCTTTGTTAAGATCACCTTGGCTGTTTATTCGTTTTCTAAGTTCTATTACATAATGCGCTATTTGATTTTGCCAGATTGTTTTTAAACCTGCTATGTTTTTGTGTACTAAAATAGCATTGGCCATTGTGATGGCCAAGTCCAATTTATTTTTTATCAGCTGCAAAAGAGGGCTCTGCAGCCTGTCACATTGCTCTCTTCAGAAAATGCTGTATTGTAATCTGTACTCTAGTCTTGGTAATAGTACTCTGTTGTTGATGTAGATTAGCTGGGCCAATGTTGTATTTTTTTTTTTTTTTTTTTTTTTTTTTAATATTAAGGTGACCACTTAGGCCCCTGGCACTTTATTAGTTCAAATGGGTGGGCTGTCCAAAGACAGCTTACATATTATATCAGTATAATGAGAGTACAACTAGTCACACGTACAACTTTTGGTTGCCTATTTAAAGTGTTGTATTTTCCTTGTCAATGCTTTTATTATTGTGCTAATCTCTTTTCTGGCAATGTCTAGTACATGATAATGGCTGGATTTTTTGGATAGCCATACTTCCAAAAATCTTGTGGGTTCGCTTGACTTTTTCTCTATTACCTTTTCTTTCGTTGATCTGATTTCTATACACCTTGGCTCTTGTTTCCTTTTTCCTCTCTCTATTACCAGGAGCTCTGATTTTTTACTGTTTATTTCTATATCATTTATTCTATAGAATTCTTGTACAATCTCAATCGTTTCTTCTAGCTCCTGCTTACTGCTTGCTAAGAAAGTGGCATCATCTGCATAAGCGATAACTGGAATTCTCAGACTTTGATGCCAAGTTAGGTTCTTTCTGAGATCACTTGGCCACTGTACTTCTAAGTTATAACCTCGCTCAGAGTTCAATTGTATCTCGGTTAGCAGTGGGTCATAGAAGATTCACCACACTAAAGAAGATATTACTTCTCCTTGGTCTATACTATTACCTGCTGCGAATCTTTC